ATATATATATATATATATATATATATATATATATATATATATATATAGATTAATTAGTATTTCATTTGAATTTATGTTTATTTATTTTTAAACAAAGATATATTCATATATTTAAAAAATAAACAGTCTTAATTATTTAGTATTAAGATCTTTAGACACATCTTTATAGTCAGATGTGTATTCAGATTCAAACATTTTAATTTTTTTTAAAAAAACAAATGAGGCCTCAGAGTGTCAATATTAACTTATTAGGTAATTGAGACGATTTCACACATTTTACTTTTAACTAGTTTTAGTATACGTGCTCTGTACACGTATCCCATATCAATTAGTATAAAACTTTAAAAATTATATAAATATTATTAAACTATGTACATTTGATGTGCAACTGTTAAGCATCATTTCCAAAATATTTCAAGAATTTTATTTAATTAAAGAGTAATAATTGTGGATATTAAAATAATTTATATCTAATCATAGTATTGATTATAATGTGTATTCAAATTTACACAAAATTATAAATTTGATTAAAAGGCAATGGACATATTATTGTATAACCAGAGGATCAAATATACTTTTTCATAAAAAGTCTTTCTTTATTTTTCTTTTTTATGTTTACTTAGATAATTAAATCATATAGAATTAATTGGATTTTAATTCTATGACTGGTTATAAATTTTGATTAAGGAGTGCAGAGATTCATCGACTTTAGTCATAGTTTCCTACTTAGTCTTTCTCTTCTTCTTTTTTTTACTAAGATAATTAAATTACATATAATTAAGATATTACCTCATTCAATATTTGAACAATTAATTGTAATATCTAACATTTAAAATATTAATGAGAATTATTATTATATCTTGCATGGGATGTACATTTATGCTGATATATTTGTTTCTTATAATTGAGCAGATATCTACCACTAAAATAAAAAAATTTCTAATCTAATTTAGTCTAATTAAAACTAATGAAAAAAATAGACAAAACCTAACGTGTGCATGGAGAAAACATGAAAAGAAGCCCGCGCGACATTCGGCGTTAATACTCCCAAATCAGAAAATTCTAACCACAATTTTAATGATAACGGACGGCCGAGACTTTTATGTAAAAAGGACCAAGGAGGATCTTATCCTAATAGTATCACTTTATTCATAAAGTCGATAGATAGGCGGAAAACATATTTCTGGACAAATGAATGGACCTTTCCTTACTTTACTTGGGCACCAAAAAGTGACCATAAACTGATACAATAATATTCTTTTATTAATTGAAAAGGTTAGGTTTAAGACTTCTTACTTTTTTCAATAAGGAATTATTTAATTACCAAAAATTTTGTTAATTCTAAAGTCCTAAATATTAGAAAAAGTAACTTAAATTATACTTTTATCTAATACAAAATTTATTTTTAAAGAGTAAGAAAGACGAACGATCTATATTTCATTAAGTAATTCGTGTTTTTAATATAGTATAGATTAAAAGCTTTAAGAGATATAAAAAATTATTTCTCATCTAAACAGAAGTGTAAAAAAAAGTTTCTAGCAAATAAGTGTATTCTTCTTTCTTAAAATTAATACATAAGAACTTTTTGTTTATAATTTTAATTTGTTATTTAGTTATTCTATTTCAATATTACATTTATACCTCATGTTTTTCAAAATTAAATACTTGATACCTTTGTAAATTAGAAATATTATTCAAGGGGGTTAAACTTATGATATGATATATAACAGATGAATCTGCAATTAAATCATATTAATATTTACTATTTAGTACTATAATTTACCCTAATTCTATAAAATCATATATTAAAGTGACATAATAAAATATAAACTATGTGACAAAAGCATATAAAGATGCATTGTAAACGGTCACGTATTCATTATTTTCAGTGCAAAGAGACCTTTTCCTCCACTTCATTCCCAACAACTAAAAGCAGCTCCACTACTTCCGTTTCCGTTTTCCCGTTTTCCCTTACCCTATTTCGTGTCCTCCTTTTATCCATGGATTCAGGCCGCCGCGGCGGAGCCAATAATTACCGGTACCTTCGGAAACCACCGTATTCCGATCGGCTCCTCGGCATTTTCTCCACCGCTCACTCACTATCCCAACCCTCTACCTCCACCTCCACTTCCCCTTCCACTTCCGCCGCTGGAGATGAGCTCAGCGAGCACGACATCTTCGACGTGTCTTCTGACGCTATTCACCACTCTATTCCTTCAACCTCAACGAGCCCCAATACTAATCACCATCGTTCCCCTAACCATCGCTCTCACCAGAAACATTTCGGTATCCTAGCCGCGCTGCCGGAGTCTGAGTCCCACGCGCCTGCTTTGCTCTCTGTCTCGTCATCCTCCTCGTCTTCCTCCACATCGTCGGCTCGTTTGATTCCTACAATACCTAAACGGCCGCCATCGGTGGATCGGGTTAAATATCTCCAGTCCGCACCGGTGAATGTGCCTGTAATTTCGGCAGTAGGAGGGCAAAGAGGCCGTCATTTCGACGACGTTGACGATGATGATGATGATGATGACGACGACGACGTGGATAATTGCGAGATGTTACCGCCACATGAACTTGTTGCTTCGAGGCAGACGCCGATTTTGGCATCCTCTGTGCTTGAGGGAGCTGGGAGGAAGTTGAAAGGGAGGGATTTGAGGCAGGTCCGAAATGCCATTTGGCGGAAGACAGGTTTTCTTGACTGACTTTTTAATAAATTTGAGATAATTGTTAGGTTTCTTTCTCAATTTGTGTGCGATTATAAAATTTTGAATTTTGTAGGGGTGAATTGATAAGCTATGATTAGAAATTATTCTGCTTTAGTAATTTTCATTGTCATCTTTTGACACCATCGTGGCGTGTTATCAATTAAAATGAGCTTGACTTATGGGGAAAAAAAGCTTGATGCTTTTCCTCTAAGATATTAGCCCAATTTTAGTGCATTATTAAAGATGAAGGCGAATCGAGCAACTTATATAGATAAACTGGATAGAAAGAAAAAAAAAAGCACCCCTAGCATTTGCGGCTGCTTCAAAACGACAACCTCTACTTCTATGTTTAACTAAAAGTGAACTGCCAGCATTAAATGGAGAGTCTTGCCTGTTTGAACTATTGAGAGCTGGAAAGCATGCTGGCTGTCTGAGTTGCGAAAAGGCAAATTGCCTAATATTTTCTCTTCAATAACCGTTACTTTAAGGTGTGTGTGTATTTCTCAATTTCTCCCGTTGTGTACAGTTAAAGTGCTGGTCTCATGAATAATTTGAAAACTAGCCTTATTTTGTGAACCCCCTGTCTACCAACTTACAGCTTCTTATTGTGTAAGGTTTATCTATGTTATAAAGAGGGATGGGCAGTTTTGTTGCTGAGACACTGTTCCCATTCTAGAAACCAACAGGTAGAGAGGAGAGACTGTGTCTATATCTGCTTTGTTTCTTGATTTTGGACTCAACCCATTATTACTGTTTTTTTGTTGAAAAAGACTGAAAGTTTCTTTGATATATCAAGATCCGATCCTTAGGAGAAAAACATGATAACTGGTATAGTTCTTCTTCCTTCCACTGTATAGACATCCTTTAGGTACTACAACTTCTGCTTTGCACTACTAGTAGCAGTCTGTCGACAGAAATATCATCAGATCCGTGGCATCTCCTTGCCTGTGAAGATTCCATCTCAAACTTTTGCAACGGCAAGTATTCTTGCTGTGTGTTTCTCAAGCTAAGTACTGCTCTTGAGCATAATGGAATGAGCGTGAGCGAACTTGCCAATGAAGTTACAATAAGTTAAGCTCTTGAGGCTAGAGAAACTAGAGAGCTCAAGAAACATGCTACTACTTCAGTCCTAACTATGTGACATACTTCATCTTTGGTGTCAAATTTAAACCTTCTAATGAAAATGATTCAATCATTTTTGCATACAGAGAATATATGTAATTTGAAAGCATGTTAAAAGCAAAGTATTGAAAGGCGAGTTTAAGGTGCTCCTTGGGGCATCCTGGTGCAAGGTGCAGTGAAGTTGCCTCAAGATTCGCGTGAAAGGCGCACACTTTGGGATCGGTAGGACGCCTGGACTGGAAAGGAAAGGAAAGATGAAAAGAGATCACTGAGGCTTTATTTGATTAATGGACACCTTCCAAGCAACAACAACAACAACAACAACCCAGTAAAATCCTACTAATGGGATTTGGGGAGGGTAGTGTGTACGCAGACCTTACCCCTACCCCGAAGGAGTAGAGAGGCTGTTTCCGAAAGACCCTCGGCTCAAAAAAATAAAAAGACAAAATGACAAAAAGGAGACAATATTAGTATCAGTATCAGAAACGAAAGCAGGATCTGATGACAATTTTCTTTTCTTTTTTCTTTTTACAGAACAAAATTTCTTACACGGTGAATCTTAGTATTGTACATCCAAACTAAGGGTATTGATGGGCGGATTAGACTTATTTTGGGTTGGTTAAAATGGACTGAGTCAATTGACCCGTCTAAAAGTTACTTGGACTGAAATGTGCTGGATCAAGATGGGTTAAAAGTTGGGTCATAGTCCACCAAACTCTTATCAAACTTTAATTAATGCGTGTTATTTTCTTATAAATTGTTTAATAATCATAGGGGTGGCAAGTGGGCCGGGCCCGGTCCTAAGTGGGCCGGTCCGGTCCTAAACGGTCCCGGGCTTCGCGGGCTTATTGCTGGAATCGGCTCGGGACCGGGACCACGAATTAACGGTCCCGAGTTTAGTGGGCCGGTCCCGGGCCTAAACGGCCCAAACGGGCCCAACAGAAACTTTGTATTTTTATTTTTTTTTATTTATAGAAGTTAGAGAAAAAAAATAGTAATAAAGATATATAAGCTATATTCGATTTATATACTATATATACAACTTAAGATATATAAACTATATTCGATATACATATATATATATAAGCTTATATGTATACTATACTATACTATAATATATATACATCTTACTATATATATTATATATATCTTAAGATGTATATATAGTATATAAATCAAATATAGCTTATATATAATAAAATGTATATATATATTATAGTATAGTATAGTATATACTATATATACAACTTAAGATATATAAACTATATTCGATATACATATATATATATAAGCTTATATGTATACTATACTATACTATAATATATATACATCTTACTATATATATTATATATATCTTAAGATGTATATATAGTATATAAATCAAATATAGCTTATATATAATAAAATGTATATATATATTATAGTATAGTATAGTATATACTATATATACAACTTAAGATATATAAACTATATTCGATATACATATATATATATAAGCTTATATGTATACTATACTATACTATAATATATATATACATTTTATTATATATAAGCTATATTTGATTTATATACTATATATACATCTTAAGATATACTATATATACATGTATATCTACTATATATATATCTAGTATATCTAGTATACTATGTATATATAGTATAGTATAGTATATATAGTATATCTTAAGATGTATATATAGTATAGTATATATAGTATATCTTAAGGTGTATATATAGTATATCTTAAGATGTATATATAGTATAGACTATATTATAGTATAAATATAAGCTTATATATATATATATATATATTTCATAAATAGCCAACGGCTATTTTTGACAGCCTAACGTTTTTTTTAATAGAAAAAATAGTTGTTGGGCCCGCTAAGGGACCGGACCGGTCCCGGGCATACAGGCCCAAATCATAGGCCCGGCCCCACGAGACCGGACCAAACGGTCCTGGCCCGTTTAGTCGTTTGGCTCGCGGTCCCGGGCCGGTCCCCGGCCTGGACCGGCCCACTTGCCAGCCTTAAATAATCAAATAATACGTTTTTTCTTTTGTTATGGTCATATATAACATCTTAAACAAAAAAGAATTATTTTAAAGATATTTTAGTAAAATGACCGGACCAGGCCCGCTAAAACCGGACCAAACGGTCCTGGCCCGTTTAGTCGTTTGGCTCGCGGTCCCGGGCCGGTCCCCGGCCTGGACCGGCCCACTTGCCAGCCTTAAATAATCAAATAATACGTTTTTTCTTTTGTTATGGTCATATATAACATCTTAAACAAAAAAGAATTATTTTAAAGATATTTTAGTAAAATGACCGGACCAGGCCCGCTAAAACCGGACCAAACGGTCCTGGCCCGTTTAGTCGTTTGGCTCGCGGTCCCGGGCCGGTCCCCGGCCTGGACCGGCCCACTTGCCAGCCTTAAATAATCAAATAATACGTTTTTTCTTTTGTTATGGTCATATATAACATCTTAAACAAAAAAGAATTATTTTAAAGATATTTTAGTAAAGTTACTCGTAGATCAATTTGAACTAAAAATCAGCCTAATTTTAGATGGGCTGAGATGGGCCGGGCCAAGATGGGTTGAGTTCCAAAAACACATCAACACTTATTTGCAGAGTGTAGTTGGATTACTACCATAAGGGGAGCACTGACAAATTGGTCTGGTATCAACTTTCCACCAAAGCCTATTAATGAGAGTTTGCGGTGGATAAGAAGCAGATATTGGAGGCAGTTTAGAAAAGTAGCAGCAGCAGCCATACTTGGTGTCATGGTCTACCATGCATGGCAAGCTAGAAACTGAAACATTTTTAGGCAAGTGACTCTCTGTCAATCAAACCCAGTGAAATTTCACAAGTGAAGTATGGGGCAAGTGATTGTGAACACAGAATTTAGTATAGAACAGATACATGAAGAACTTAAAGAGAGGATCAACATGCAAGCAACATCGAGGAAAGCTAGGAGTTGTCAAGTGTTGCCCTTGCAAGAAGTCCCTAGACTAGGGAGATCAAACATATCTTCGGGAATAAAACATAACTCTTGGGGTTGCTTTTATAATTAAAAAAACCAAGATTCCCTTCTAATACGGGCCCAAAGGCCGACCTCTTCCGAGCCAAAGCTAAAAAAGAAGTCGGAGGTTGGTAATGAACAGCTCTCTAATGGTCGAGCCTGCCAAGGACACGGAACCCAACAACATCGAGGAAAGCTAGGAGGTGTCAAGTGTTGTAAATAGATTTTTGTAGTTAGTTCATGTGTATTCTTAGTTATTTTTCTTCCTGAGGTCTATATGTACCGGGCACTCTCCTAGGACTCTAGATGCTCTTTAGTTTGTAAACAATTATTATGGTAATATTCATAGATTATTGCCCCCCAAAAAAAAAATGAATGGCCAACTTTGGAAGGTAAGGCGAGTCAAATAGATTCGGGCTCAAATTGTCACCCCCAATCCTAACTATTCAAGCTATTTGCAGAAAGGAAGCCGACCAAAATAAAAGGCGTACCCTTGAAAACTAACGTCTGCGTCTCCATAAGTTGGTCGTGCTTTGTATATCTTAGAGAACGTGAGTATAGAGTCTCTCCACTGCTTGAGTAATTAAGTGGTAACCAATTCTTGGTTCTCCCATCACTACCAAAATCCATTTAAATATTTTCTTTTAACAAGTACTTTTAGATGGGAATAATTATTATGTTCTTATTTTGAAGGGAATTAAAGTTTCTGAAACTATAGAGAAGCAGTACTGAACGCTTCTAAAACCACTAGTATGATATGTCATTCCCTTCTTAAAATACTAAGATTTGAAGTACGGATTTCATCCATTTACTTGCAAATCTTTGTGGAAAGTAATCTAAACTAGGGGCATAATAACGACCAACCCGAAAAAATCGACCGAACCGATAATTTTGGTTTATTCGGTTTGGTTTATTCGATTTTTCGATCGGTTTGCGGTTAATATTTTTTAAAAATTTGGTATTCGGTTCGGTATTCGGGTATGGGTTTCATTGCCAAAAAACCCCTATCATTAAAAATATGTTAGATGACAAGTACACAACTAAAGCTAATCAGATAACTAGTCAACTTCTTGTTAAATTTTCTGAAACAACTTCCGGTCACTAATTTTTAAAAAGTTTAAGTGATTGTTTCACATCAAGTCACTTTAAAAGAAGGGTATCTAAACAATTCAACTAGGAAATCTTTTAGGGAGAAGCTAAGAGTTTCTTCTACCAATGACCTGTTAGATTTTTCTATTTTCGTTAGTTTTTCTCGACAGATTTGTCGTGTTTGTTTCTCACCATAAAAGGGATATATCCTTCTTAGACCTCGTTCCCATGTTAGTTGCCTTGTCAGTCATCTTGTTAGCTAAAAGAAAAAAAAAAAAAAAAAAAAAAGAAGATAAGGAAACTCATGAAGCTCTTCTCAATTTCTAGCTTTAGTTTAACTACCCTTTTCTTATGCTACCAAATTTGTGGGGCATATAATACTAGAATCCAGATATAGAATTAAAACATTATCATACGTTACAGATTCTCCTCCAATTGGCCATGTTTGACAGCACCACATAGGATAAAATACAACTGTTAGAACGGTCAAAAAATATAGATGAATTAGCAGACCACTAGGGCAATGCAAAACTAGTTCAGTACAAAAGATGGCATCACTTGTTAATAGTGAAGTAAAATGTCTCATTGAATCATTAGGAATCTAATGTACAGTAACAAATTGGATGAAGGATAACACCACATAAATGGATGTGGCACGTATTGTTACATTAGCACCGAAAATAAAATCAAAAATAAAAAATCGAAAAATAAAACCGAAAATAGCCGCACCAAACCGCAATAAAACCAAACCGTACCGAAAATACTTTGGTTCGGTTTTGGTTATTAAAAATCGCAAATCGAAAATCGAAAAAACCGAACCGACCGACGCCCGGCAGAAAAATTTGCATGAGGAATTTGTAGACACAAGTGAATTTAGGATTTGAAGTTTATGGGTTCTCAGATACCTCAAGGTAATATACAATAATAAATATTTAGTAAAATTTTTAATACATATACAGACTTCGGGCAAACACTATTGAGTTATTGTGAACCCGGGTTAGGATTAGGGGTGCTTATCGGACGGATAATTACGCTTAACGGTTCGGCTTATCGGTTATCGGATTATAAATGTAGTAATCTGCTAGCCATCTAATAAGACAACGGGCGGATTGATATCGGATTAACGATTATCGGGCGGTTTATCGGCTAGACCAAATAAAAAATTGGTATAATATTGTAATGGATTCTTTTTTATGGGTGGTTTTATTGACTGACTTCGTGCACGCATCCTAATAGACCTAATGAGCTGGATAGAATTGAAAATTTGGATGGGAAAGTTATAAATTAGAATGGATATCGAGTCTTAGGAGTTCTTGCTACTTCAAGATCCATAGGAAAGTATAAATATAAAAATTATGGGTTAACGGTTTATCCGATAAGAAAATTGAGTAATCCGCCCCCAAACCGTTAAGCCGTTAATTATAAAATCTCAATCCGTTCACCATCCATTACCCGATAATCCGATGTCAATAAGCCAATAAGTTATCTGTTCGATTAACGATTTCGGTTCGATTTTCAACGGTGCTAGTTAGGATTCCCCACTGTTCAAGCATTTATGAGCTGATCTCTAGATGATGAGAGGCAGTATAGATAAACGTCCTTGTAGAAAAATAGTGTATGGCTTCGGAGTAAATGCGTCCTG